TTCCCAGCTACGCCTTTCTACCTCGCGTTTTTTTTTCATTTCTCTTTATGTTTAGGGGACACCCCCTCCTCCTCAACAAAGGATTACAAGTAGTTTATCAGCATATTTTTGAAAGTCATTAACATCAGAAAGTGTTAACATCTTGAACCGAACAAGTTAATATCAGTGAAGCACAGTGGTCATGTGGATAAGACATCGCTTTACAATGCAGATGTACTCGGTTCGATTCCCAGCTACGCCTTTCTACCTCGCGTTTTTTTTTTCATTTCTCTTTTTGTTTAGGGGACACCCCCTGCTCCTCAACAAAGGAGTATAAGTAGTTTATCAGCATATTTTTGAAAGTCATTAACATCAGAAAGTGTTAACATCTTGAACCGAACAAGTTATCATCACTGATGCACAGTGGTCATGTGGATAAGACATCGCTTCACAATGCAGATGTACTCGGTTCGATTCCCAGCTACGCCTTTCTACCTTGCGTTTTTTGTATCTCTTTTTTTTGTTTAGGGAACACCCCCTCCTCCTCAACAAAGGATTACAGGTAGTTTATCAGCATATTTTTGAAAGTCATTAACATCAGAAAGTGTTAACATCCTGAACCGAACAAGTTAATATCATTGAAGCACAGTGGTCATGTGGATAAGACATCGCTTTACAATGCAGATGTACTCGGTTCGATTCCCAGCTACGCCTTTCTACCTCGCGTTTTTTTTTTAATCTCTTTTTTTTTGTTTAGGGGACACCCCCTCCTCCTCAACAAAGGATTACAAGTAGATTATGAGCATATTTTTGAAAGTCATTAACATCAGAAAGTGTTAACATCTTGAACCGAACAAGTTAATATCAGTGAAGCACAGTGGTCATGTGGATAAGACATCGCTTTACAATGCAGATGTACTCGGTTCGATTCCCAGCTACGCCTTTCAACCTCTCGTTTTTTTTTTTTCATCTCTTTTTTTTGTTTAGGGGACACCCCCTCCTCCTCAACAAAGGAGTACAAGTAGTTTATGAGCATATTTTTGAAAGTCATTAACATCAGAAAGTGTTAACATCTTGAACCGAACAAGTTTTCATCACTGATGCACAGTGGTAATGTGGATAAGACATCGCTTCACAATGCAGATGTACTCGGTTCGATTCCCAGCTACGCCTTTCTACCTTGCGTTTTTTTTTTTATCTCTTTTTTTTGTTTAGGGAACACCCCCTCCTCCTCAACAAAGGATTACAGGTAGTTTATCAGCATATTTTTGAAAGTCATTAATATCAGCAAGTGTTAACATCTTGAACCGAACAAGTTAATATCAGTGAAGCACAGTGGTCATGTGGATAAGACATCACTTCACAATGCAGATGTACTCGGTTCGATTCCCAGCTACGCCTTTCTACCTCGTGTTTTTTTTTTTTTCATTTCTCTTTTTGTTTAGGGGACACCCCCTGCTTCTCAACAAAGGAGTACAAGTAGTTTATCAGCATATTTTTGAAAGTCATTAACATCAGAAAGTGTTAACATCTTGAACCGAACAAGTTAATATCAGTGAAGCACAGTGGTCATGTGGATAAGACATCGCTTCACAATGCAGATGTACTCGGTTAGATTCCCAGCTACGCCTTTCTACCTTGCGTTTGTTTTTTTCATTTCTCTTTTTGTTTAGGGGACACCCCCTCCTCCTCAACAAAGGACTACAAGTGGTTTATCAGCATATTTTTGAAAGTCATTAACATCAGAAAGTGTTAACATCTTGAACCGAACAAGTTAATATCAGATAAGCACGGTGGTCATGTGGATAAGACATCGCTTCACAATGCAGATGTACTCGGTTCGATTCCAAGCTACGACTTTCTACCTCGCGTTTTTTTTAAACTTTTGTTGTTGTTTAGGGGACACCCCCTCCTCCTCAACAAAGGATTACAAGTAGTTTATGAGCATATTTTTGAAAGTCACTAACATCAGAAAGTGTTAACATCTTGAACCGAACAATTTTTCATCAGTGAAGCACAGGGGTCATGTGGATAAGACATCGCTTCACAATGCAGATGTACTCGGTTCGATTTCCAGCTACGACTTTCTACCTCGCGTTTTTTTAAAAAAACTTTTTATGTTGTTTAGGGAACACCCCTCCTCCTCAACAAAGGATTACAAGTAGTTTATCAGCATATTTTTGAAAGTCATTAACATCAGAAAGTGTTAACATCTTGAACCGAACAAGTTAATATCAGTGAAGCACAGTGGTCATGTGGATAAGACATCGCTTTACAATGCAGATGTACTCGGTTCGATTCCCAGCTACGCCTTTCTACCTCGCGTTTTTTTTTATCTCTTTTTTTTTGTTTAGGGGACACCCCCTCCTCCTCAACAAAGGATTACAAGTAGATTATGAGCATATTTTTGAAAGTCATTAACATCAGAAAGTGTTAACATCTTGAACCGAACAAGTTAATATCAGTGAAGCACAGTGGTCATGTGGATAAGACATCGCTTTACAATGCAGATGTACTCGGTTCGATTCCCAGCTACGCCTTTCTACCTCGCGTTTTTTTTTTTCATCTCTTTTTTTTGTTTAGGGGCACCCCCTCCTCCTCAACAAAGGAGTACAAGTAGTTTATGAGCGTATTTTTGAAAGTCATTAACATCGGAAAGTGTTAACATCTTGAACCGAACAAGTTATTATCAGTGAAGCACAGTGGTCATGTGGAAAAGACATCGCTTCACAATGCAGATGTACTCGGTTCGATTCCCAGCTACCTCTTTCTACCTCGGTTTTTTTTAATCTCTTTTTTTTTGTTTAGGGGACACCCCCTCCTCCTCAACAAAGGATTACAAGTAGTTTATCAGCATATTTTTGAAAGTCATTAACATTAGAAAGTGTTAACATCTTGAACCGAACAAGTTAATATCAGTGAAGCACAGTGGTCATGTGGATAAGACATCGCTTCACAATGCAGATTTACTCGGTTCGAATCCCAGCTACGCCTTTCTACCTCGCGTTTTTTTTTTATCTCTTTTTTTTTTGTTTAGGGGACACCCCCTCCTCCTCAACAAAGGATTACAAGTAGATTATGAGCATATTTTTGAAAGTCATTAACATCAGAAAGTGTTAACATCTTGAACCGAACAAGTTAATATCAGTGAAGCACAGTGGTCATGTGGATAAGACATCGCTTTACAATGCAGATGTACTCGGTTCGATTCCCAGCTACGCCTTTCTACCTCGCGTTTTTTTTTTTCATCTCTTTTTTTTGTTTAGGGGCACCCCCTCCTCCTCAACAAAGGAGTACAAGTAGTTTATGAGCGTATTTTTGAAAGTCATTAACATCGGAAAGTGTTAACATCTTGAACCGAACAAGTTATTATCAGTGAAGCACAGTGGTCATGTGGAAAAGACATCGCTTCACAATAAAGATGTACTCGGTTCGATTCCCAGCTACCTCTTTCTACCTCGGTTTTTTTTTATCTCTTTTTTTTTGTTTAGGGGACACCCCCTCCTCCTCAACAAAGGATTACAAGTAGTTTATCAGCATATTTTTGAAAGTCATTAACATTAGAAAGTGTTAACATCTTGAACCGAACAAGTTAATATCAGTGAAGCACAGTGGTCATGTGGATAAGACATCGCTTCACAATGCAGATTTACTCGGTTCGAATCCCAGCTACGCCTTTCTACCTCGTTTTTTTTCAATCCTTTTTTTCTTCATATTGATTTGTCCTTCTCTTTTTGCTCGTTTAGGGGGCACCCCCTCTTCCTCAACAAAGGAGTACAAGTAGTTTATTAGCACATTTTTTAAAGTCATTAATATCAGAAAGTGTTAACATCTTGAACCGAACAAGTTAATATCAGTGAAGCACAGTGGTCATGTGGATAAGACATCGCTTCACAATGCAGATGTACCCTGTTCGATTCCCAGCTACGCCTTTCTACCTCGCGTTTTTTTTTTTCATCTCTTTTTTTTTGTTTAGGGGACACCCCCTCCTCCTCAACATGTGGATAAGACATCGCTTCACAATGCAGATGTACTCGGTTCGATTCCCGGCTATGCCTTTCTATCTCTTTTTTTTTTAAACATTTTTTTCATCTGCGTAAGGTAGGGAGGGGGTTGTAGTTCCCCCTACCCCGCGACCACTAACCACTAAGGCCGTGATCATTTCCTCAAAATTCTGACATTATTCCAAATTTTAAAACAATCTGACAAATTTTGAGAAGAGTGTTCCAGAGCTGGACATATATGGGGTTTTTGTGCACCATCTACCCTATCTTCTGGTGTAAATAACTAAGAAACAGAAATGTCGGCGTAAGGTAGTAGGGAGGGGGGGTGGTGAAGTTCCCCCTATCCCGCGATCGCTAACCACCATCAATCTCTGCTATCTCCTGGTGTAAATAACTAAGAAACAGAAATGTCGGCGTAAGGTAGGTAGGGGGTGAAGTTTAAAGTCTCACCTCCCTGGTTCACCCTAGCGACCGCTAACCATTGAGGCGCCAACCCGCGACCAAGGCGGTGATCATTTCCTAAAAATTCTGAAATTATTCCAAAATTTGAATCAATCTGACAAATTTTAAGGAGAGTGTTTTAGAACTCGACACATATGGGGTTCTTGCGCACAATCTCCGCTATATCCTGTTGTAAATAAATAAGAAACAGAAATGTCGGCGTAAGGTAGGGAGGGGGTGAAGTTCCCCTTACCCCGCGACCACTAACCACCAAGGCGGTGATCATTTCCTAAAAATTCTGAAATTATCCCAAACTTTAAATCAATCTGACAAATTTTGAGAAGAGTATAATATAATGGGGTTCTCATGCACTATCTCCACTATCACCTGGTGTAAATAATTAAGAAAAAGGATTGTCAACGAAAAGTAGGGAGGAGGGTAACTTTCTTCTAGTTGCGAGATGAAAGACACAGCAGTATTTGTACAGTATCTTATACCCGCAGAAAAGTATACTGATGGGACTATTGTGCGTAAACCGTACGCACTATTCTTTATCTAGGTTTTAACCATTTTAACGTACACTGACCTTTTAGTGGTCGCGAACTAGCGGTCGCCAAATTCAGCTCAGCGCTATTTCAGTTCAAGAACTCTGATTCCTGATCGCTGTCTCCGCTCGATAGAAAGCTGAAAATAATCCTATAATGGAAACGATAGTGGAGGAGATTGTAGCAGTGGAAGTTTTAAAGGTATCATTAATCATTTTCAACTAGATAATCGTACGTTTTATTTGTTTAGAAATGTAAAAAATACCTTCTTGAAAAAAAATTGTGAAGTTACGTGCAGTCCCATTAATGCTATTTGATGTATTAATAATGTTATGAGGTATGATTGGATTGGGGCACTCCAGCAAAGCATAGAGAGTCATAGACAGAAATAACCGTCTGATATGGGTCATTTCTTTAATAAAACTGACATTTGTTGACATTCCCCATACACAGACGGTACTCCAGACGACTCGCACCGGGGGATAGATTGGTCCATTTCCATGATTTCTGTATGAAGTGGTGACCAAAGTTCGCGGACATTTTAGAACATATTACAAAATGTGATATTCAATCTATGATTTCTCACATTCTACACAACTTTATTTGTTTCAATTATTACCAAATGGACGGCAAAGTTTTTTACTACAGATTGGTTCTACTAGAAAAATTTACCGTCGAAGGATTTCGGAGATATCGCGATCTAAAAATTCGATGTCCGATCGTGCGTGCGCGCTGCATCTAAAAAAGTCATAAAAACAACGAGACCTAACTTCACGCACGGTGGTTTACAGTTGATTTATCAAAAAATTCGATCCATCAAAAATAAGGTAATATCATAATTTGCAAGACAAGATATCGTACAATCAGTCAGTACCACTCTTTACTTACAATTTTGAGGATTTCTAATCTCAAAATGAAGATTTCCAGACCCTTATCGGTAAGTTGATAATTTTTCGGAACGGACGCAAATAACTGCAAAATTTGCCGATCTTTTGTCAATATTTTCACAATTTCGCACCCAATTCTAAAGAAAATTTCGTTTCTGGGTAATTTTATGACCCTCTTTCCATTGGTGATATCAGATTTTCGAAATCTTACCGATTTTTTGAGAAAGCGAACTTTGGTCACGCGCGAACTTTGGTCACACCGCCATACCACTTTTTACTAGCGAACTCTCTCCCCCGATTTTCAATATTTAGACTAGACTCTAGATCTAGATCTAATTTTCTGATTTATAAATCAGATAGAAAAAGACAATATGTATTGTTCTCCTATTTCAAATCTTTTGAAAGCATACATATGTTTAAATATGTTGATGATCTAACCCTAGTTGAGTGTCATAAAACAAACCAAATTTCAAACATGCAAGAAGCTGTAGAATGTCTATCTTTGTTGGCTGATATTAATAAAATGCAATTGAATCCTGCGAAGTGTATCAAAATGGACATTTGCTTTTCTAGAGTACCAGTCAATCAGTCTTCCATCATTCTCGGAAATTGTGTTCTTTCAACTGTTTCACAGGTGAAATTACTTGGTGTCATGATACAAAACGATTTGAAGTGGGAAGCCCATGTCAGAGATATTGAAAAAAGAGCGAATGCAAAATATATATGCTCCGTTCTTTTGAGAAGTTTGGTCTTTCACATGAAGATCTGATTACTATTTTTATTGGCTATATTCGCCCAATCTTTGAATATGCTACTCAAGTTTGGAGCGGAGGCCTCACTAGTGCACAAAAACAACGCATCTTAGAAAGATTACAAAAACGTGCATTGAGGATTATCTTTGGAAAGGATTACCATAGTTACGCAAACGCTCTTACTAATTCGAAATTACAAACATTGGAAAGTCGTCAAAATAACTTATGTGTTACCTTCTTTAAAAAAACTCTATCATGCACAGACCAGTTCAAACAATTTATACCCCAAAGAGCACACAATAGAACTTTGAGAAGAACTAACAAGATCCCTTAACCCAGGTGCAAAACTAAACGTATGCAGAATAGCCCAATCCCAGATTTGATCCGTTTATATAACAAAAGTTTTTTATGATTGTATTTAATATACTTTGAAACAAATTGAATTGTCAAATTACAATTTCATATTCCTTAGTATATAATTAATTCATAAATTTGAGGTCTGATTTTTTACCAAGTTTGTCAATGTATTTTTTATGACATGAAGAATGCGATGCATATCTATATTTATATTTTAATATCTCTAATGTTCACCTTATAATATTCATAAATTTGTCTTGCAATGTATCTTTGTATTTTATCAGCATGTACATAATTGTTTTCCCTCTCTGTCCATCTGTCCCCTTTCTCCCCTCTCTCCCTCTCTCTCTCTCTCTCTCTCTCTCTCTCTCTTTCTTTTTCTCTTTCTCTCTCTTTCTCTCTCTTTCTTTCTCTCTCTCTTTCTCTCTTTCTTTCTCTCTCTCTTTCTCTCTCTTTCTTTCTCTCTCTTTCTTTCTCTCTCTCCTGCTTTCCCATCTCTCTTTCTTTTTTAACTCAAATTTTTTAATTTAAATATTGTATAAGATGAATGGTATATAGTATATACACGCTCTTCATAATTATGTAGATTGTAGTGTGACATCTTGAAATGTATACTTGCTTTTTTCCAGCAATTTACTCATGTGCAATTCAGTTACTTTTTACTGTGATATCTCTTGAAATGTATAATTGTCTTCACCATCAATGTTTTATTCATGCACAATTCAGTTACTTGTAACTGCGATACATGGAAATGAATCAATAAATACCATTTATCTATCTATCTATCTATCTATCTATCTATTTACAGTTATTAACGTTTGACGAACTATTATAAAATTGCAAATTTGCGGACTTACTTAGACTTAGACCGAATTTTCCATCTCTTTCGTTCGTTAAGCCTCTTATTTGGGTAGGGTTGGCTCTCTCTTTAGAGATGGAAACGGACTATATACCGCCAAATGTGTAGGTTAGGTGTGTAAACTTTCACACCAAACTTGCAAAACTTATCCCCGAATTACTCCTTTCACAGGATGCATATCCGCTGCATTTTATATTATAAATTAGGTATAGAGTTAACTACTTCGGTTCCACTTACCAACTTGACTGAAACAATCCGTTTAATGGTCCATTTTTAGGAAATTATGGGTCAAAATCGACATCCATGATAAAAATCTTGCAGCGGTAGTTTAAACCCTCGCTGCGCATGACGTCATCTAAATCTCATCCCTTCTAGTCTACGACAAAGGCAAAATGATTATAACGGAAAAACTGTGAACGAGCTAAGAGTTCGTAACAGGGAATAATTTTCCTCAAATTTTCTGATTAGCAATTTCAGCCGATGGATAAATATTTCAAATGAAATTCTGTACATTTCTATGGAAGAAAACTGCTACACAAAAGATATTTTGTATAGCAGTCATGCAAAAATGCATAGCAAATTGCGATGCGATACCAGGAAAATTATTCCCTGCGTAATGACATGCGCAGATTTTTAAACGTCTTTAGATAAATTAGATATATGGGCATTAGATATATGTCCATATCTAATGCCCATATGCCAATATGCCCATAGCCCATAGACCTGTATGTGCATATGTGTCATATGTGTCCATATGCACATACGTGTAAAAACCCATACAGTTTCATGGACTCTAGGTTCCTCTGCCTCCGTCAATCCTTAAGGCTCTCAGATTCAATTTGAGAATAGTCCTGTTTACCAAACTTGTAGGCCTTTGAGTTGGCCAGTGTCAATAATTTCTTCAAATTTTCCAAGTACACTCCAGAGTATTCTCCTGTCACTACTCCTCACCCCCCCCCCCCCCCCCTCTCAGTTGATTGTCAGTGCCAGATTCTCCAGACATTATGTAGCTAGCAAGAGTCATTAAATCTTACTTGTGTAATCCTAAGATCATGAGTAACAGTTTTGGCTTTTCTCTGTACTTCCTCATCCCTCTATGTACCTGGCAAATCGGCAATGGAATTTTCATCATTCTTCTCCAAATTCTGGAGCTCAAATGTCTTTTTTCATGTTTTATACAGAAACATGAGCAACTGTACAATGCTGAGCTTGCCCAGGGGAGGGTGACAGTCGGGACTCAGTTCCAGTATGCCTGGTGCCTGGTGAGAAGCCGTTATAGAGATGACATGAGGAGAGGGGTAGTACTACTAGAGGAACTGCTACATGGTGGAAGCCCTCAGGTCCAACGGGATTGTCTCTTCTATCTAGCCATAGGATACTACAGACTCAAGGTTAGATTTATAAAATGTTCAAAATTACAGTCAACCTAGCGTAAGTTAATACCTTTAAAGGACTTGCATTGACTTGAGCAATCTTTGACTTAGAAACACATCTATACTGGTCGAAGCGTTGTTTGCCTTAACACTGCCTTTAGAGTGGTGTTGAGTGGTCTGGAGCGGTCTAGGAAACGAACCAGTCCAGAGATACTTTTCCTGGCACATTTGTGCCTTCACACTCGCTGTTAGACCGCTCTGGTTTAAAAAGAGAGGGGGGTACTAGAGAGAGGGACGGGGGAACAGAGATGCCAACTGTTCCGTTTTTGTTCCGTTTTTTTGTTGTTGACGTTTTTCTTAATTTCTGATCATGGGCTTTGTGTCGTAAGTGTATTATGCACCTTTGTCTTCAAACGATGCACGCATGATGGTGATACGGGCCCCAAACTGCGCACATTGCGAACAACCCATGTATAATGTATGCACGTCGCGCTCCGATCCGGGTACGTATACGTGATACTGCCGGGTTTTTTTAGCTGCTCGATTGGGCGATATCTCAAGGTGAGAGATTTTTTTTAAATATTGTTTTTTGCTCTTAAGAATACTTTTTTTTATTGAAGAAGGTTGGCATCTCTGAGGGAAGAACGTAGGAGCATGCACCAGCAAATCTGGTGTACAGGGATCATTGTATATTAAAACAAACAGTCCGTCTGTCTGTAGAATGATTCAGAATACTATTGAATCCCATTGGTCCTAGGTAGGTTTTTTGGTACCACAAAAGCTTCTATTCATTTATACACTTAGCTTTGAGCTTATTGCATATGCTTTTGAAGTCCATAACCCAAGGCAATTTTCTTGTTCATTTGTTCTTAGGCCATGTAAAATTGATTACATGTTGATCGTCCGGATTTTTTGAAAAAGAGGAGGAGGGTGTACCATGTTATTTGATATTTGATATTTCAAAATGGCCGCTCAAAATGGCCGCTCGGTACATTTTCCCCACAATTTTCCGTAGAGATCAGTGATTTTCCCTGACAGTCGAGGCTTTTTTTTTTCAAGATGGCCGCCGACAATTTTTTTTTTTAAATCAGAAATAGAGCCATTTTAGCAGTGTTTTTCATGTTTTTTTTCTTTCAAAAAAAAATTAAAAAAAAAAAATAAAAAAAATAAAATTAAAAAAAAAAAAAAAATAGGAGGCGGCCCTCAAAAAGGAAGCGGGCGGGGACGATCAACATGAAATCAATTTTACATGGCCTTATATCGATTGAAGAAGTAAACAAAGTTGGTTTTTTTTTTTCAATAAATAGTCCTATATTTGTTTTACATTGGAGCACAATCACTATTTTTGCAGTTGATAAGGCGCCTTGGATTAATTCTCATGTGCGAGAAGCTGCAGCTTTTTAACCAGAGAGCGCATGCATCAAAGCCGATTGAGTTAGTCCCGGATGCACGATTTGCCCACGAAAAGCTGCAAGCTTATCTGTGTATATATAACCGAATGAATTTTTAAAAAATAATTTTTTTTCGGGGAGGTAACTTGGAGGTGTCAATCTAGACACACGGGTTATGAGAGCCCCATTCAAATTTAATTCTCCAGCAATTAACGGAAATAAAGACTAGTGGTTTTTTTTCTCTCTCGCCAGTATAGGGCAGGTCCAAGCTATTGTTCCCTCTGGGGGTCAAATTTCATCTTTATATACTGTATATTTAACAAACTATACATCATTTTAAAGCTGAAACTATGAATGTTATGAATCTGATAAAAAAAAACTAAAAAATTATCAAAATACGAAGAATGCCAAGGTCACGAACTTTGATATTTATTAATTAGCGTGACGTACGGGACATTACATTTTTATTTTTGTATCTCATTTGAATTATTTTTTTAAAATTAAATATCTCAGGACATGTAGACCATCATGCTAGAAAATAGGAAAAAAATATAAAAACTTTCAAAATTAATTAATTATGCAAATGAGGTAGGTTCCAAAGTTTGATGTCCCATACGTCACAATTTGACATTAATTTGTTTAATTTTAATTATGAAAATAATTTTTTTTTTTAAAGAAATTCTAGGAAGTTCTAATTTAGATGAATACTTTTAACAAAATAGGTTTAACAAAAATTACAAAAATTCTGTGTTGATTACATAATCAAATTTTTAAAAATGTGACGTACGGGACAAGTGTGTGACGTATGGGACAACCCCATATAAAACCAATGCAAGATGTGAAAAAGGAAATGACCAAAAGGAGAATATATACTTTGTTAGGAAACTTGTTGTATACAGGGATATATGAACATTCCAACTGGGTCCCTTCTAGGAATTTACTTGTACTGTTGTTGTTGTTGTTGTTTTAGTCTGAAAGGCATGTGTCATTCAATCATGAATATTTATTGATGTGATTAGTCTTCAAGTCAGACCCCTGGTATTGCCAGTTGATGTCCCCAACATTGGCAGGATGCTAAATATGTAAATCATAATAGTGTAATAGTTCATGGAATGAGTCTAATGAAATGATATGGTAGTAGATGCACCAGAAGCTGGCTTTTACAACTCATAGATGCTGCAGGTAAGAATAACACATGGTATCAAGCTCACCATGCGAGGTTGTTTTTTGATATTCTATTTAAATGCCATGTATGATGGTAAAGGATTACAGCATACACTGTACATGTTTGGACTCAGCTCGGGAATTCTGATCTCCTAAAAACTAAATCATAACTTTTAAGGAAGGATAGCCTATTTGAGTATTTCACACTCTCACCCACTTAAGATTTTCATCACTTTTACACCCATGCATTTTTGTTGATTTACACCTTAATCTTTTGCATTGTGGAAAAGGTCACACAAACCTTTAGGGTTAATTTCATATACATGTATCTGGTGGTGTTAATAAGATGTCTTTAATCAATACAAAATACATTCAAGATTTATATTTTTGTATCCATCTTTCACAGGGTTGGGCGGTAAATACCGGTGGCGGTAATTACCGGCGGTATATACCGGTAAATACCATCCGGTAAATAAGATGCGCGTCCGGTAAATATGTAAAAAACGGGAAATATGATTTTAATTCTCTATTTATTAATAATTTTACTTGTTTTGAGCCTCATAACTGAAAATATTGTTCTTGATTTTGATTTTGTATCAGCTTTATTATCAATCTTCAATAAAGGAACATGGTATAAACATAAAAGAATTGCACAGTCACAGACATATAATAAGAGTAGTCCAGGTCATGGCTCATAACTGCCAAAGCAGGGCATACAATACAAAACATATAAGACATAAAGATGTTATAAAACATGATCGCCGAGATCTTTAACAGTAGTTGTGTTCATGCCAAATTGTTTCGTTTCAGATTAAGAAAAATACACAATTTATAATTCACTTTACTCAAATAATGTATACAAATGCTTAATCGTTTTGGAGGAATAGAGGGCTCACGTGGTCGTGATGCAACAAAATATAACATGTTCAGTGGCATGCATTCAGCCCACGGTTGCACCACGATAGCCCTCTTTATTACTTATAGGCACTATTACTTTTATTATTACTATAATTATTTTTAGCTTTATTATTATCATTGTTATTATAATTATTATCATTATTATTATCATCATTATCATCATCATTATTATCATCATTATCATCATCATTTTAATTATCATCATTATTATTGTGTTTATATTTATTATTATCATTGTTGTCATTATTATTATTATTAATATTATTATTAATATTATTATTCATTATTATCATTTAGTATCCAGTTATTACAGATTTTTACAGTCTTGCCATGAGGGTTCACCCTTTGCGCAATAAATTGCAAAGGACGACACAAGGGCCATTTTACTTAGTTTGTCCCGAAATTGTTTTGTGTTCCGTTTATGCAAGTAGCCCAGCATCTTTGTTAGTCTCTGGGTATTGCTTGATGAAATGAACCCACGAGAACCGACTTCAATTGCCAAAAGTTCTACCTCATAGCCATTATCTTCAATGTCTCTGACGAGGGACGAGTATTTATCAACTTTATATTGATAGGCCTTATCGATTCTAAGTTCAAATGGGATTGTCAGTTCCATGATCATGATTTTTTTACTTTTTTCATCGTAGATACAAAGGTCAGGTCTCAGGTTTGTTTGGGTACAAGACAATGGGATTGTTGAGACAGGGGAGTAGCCGATTAAATAGGGAATATCATGAAGGATTTTTGTATCGGCCGAAGTACTTTCTGTGATGAATTCTACAAAGCATTTTGGTACATTGTTATGGCGCCAGGTGTATCGCCCTTGAGATAGGAATAGTGAACAGCAATTAAGAACATGGTTCAGTGTCTCAACACAATCGCAGTGCCTGCATTTGCAAAATACTCATAGTAGGAACAAACAAACAGATTTATAAAATCCTCACTGCATACATGTACACACCCAAACAAATGGCATTTTGTTCATATGCTAATTAATAGGTATTCATGAATATGGTAATTAGCAACTGGGAACCAAAACCTTCATACAAGTTACTTTTATTGTAAAGTTTAAGATATTTGAATAAAATCAGTGAAAATTTAAACAAAATCGGGCAAGGAATAAGGAAGTTAAAGCTTTTTGAAATGACTAGTCACTAGAGGGCGATATTCAATTTGATGACGTCATTTGTGGACAACTCTCCATGCCTTTTGTACATCAAATTTCATGTTTTTCCTTCTTTCTTGTGATTGAGATAATAGAATGCAAAATGATATTCTACTTCACATGTTATAAAATCCGATCAAGAACACAAATAAACAGGAAAAAAACGAAAGAATTGTGAAATTTGATGTACAAAAGGCATGGAGAGTTGTCCACAAATGACGTCATCCAATTGAATATCGCCCTCTAGTGACTAGTCATTTTAAAAAGCTTTAACCCATATTCCTTGCCCGATTTTGTTCAATTTTTCACTGATTTTATTCAAATATCTTAAACTTTACAATAAAAGTAACTTAGTATTAAGGTTTTGGTTCCCTTTAATG